CTGCTACACTTGGTGATTTTACGTGTTTTAGGTCCATTGAATAATCATTAAATATAATATTTGTTTTGAATAAGAATTTATCATAAATAATATTTAGTATTTGTGACTAACAATTTGTCATCATAATTACTCATTTTACAATATTTTTATTGTCATAAGCTTATAATGTGTATATCGTTGTTTTCAATGACAAAATGTCTTTTCAGTTACAATTTTATTTTGTTAATATTAAGCATGAGGGTATATATGACTAATATTTGATATCTATCATAATTGAATGTGTTATAGTGACATCTTTCATCGTTATAAATTTATATTCTCTCTATGATTATTTTTCAGTGACAAAATATAATTTTAATAATGATTTATTTTGTCATTGTAGGATATGTGGGTATCTATGACCAATATTTAAAATTTATTACAATTATAATGAATTATAGTGATGAATTTCATCATCGCAAGCCTATATTTTTTTTACGACTATTTTTCAACAACAAAATATCTTTTCAATGACTAACTTTTTTTTATTATCATTGAACATGTGCATATCTGTGATTAATTTTTGAAATCCAACAATTATAATAAATTGGAGTGATAGTTCAAAATTCATCACAAATTTTTGTTACTTAAAACCCTTTTTCTTAGTGTGTGAATCTTTAAAGAAAAAAAATTAATTATATAATAATATATTATAATTATAATTTTATAATATCATGTAATTTTGCTACAATATCATTTTCGTTTAAATTAAATTTCTTGTTCTTTAGCCTGCAATTTAAAAATTGTCTTACTTCTACAAAAAGCTTTTCTTTTCTTTTTTCTTTTTTTTTTTTGGGTGTAAATATAAGTCAGAAATTGAGCCCACTTGACATTGACAAAAGAAACAAAATGAGGCTCAAAATGAGCCTCAAACTGAACCTAAACAAAAATAAGTCTCAATACCAAAGAGACACGTGATTAAATGAGAGAAGTTCTAGTGGGTTCCATTTTCCATACCCAACGTCCAGTCTACTCTTGCCCACCTAATCACTCAAATACTAGAAAACTGAGGCCATACTTCAGACTTCTTTCTGGTATCACCTCTTCATCTCTGTTGTCTATTTCTTGTACACTTTTAAAATTATTATTGTTATTATTTTTTTATAAAATATCTGAATTTAAAATCAATTTTGTTGTCAGTTCACATACGTGTGGAGCCTTGTTTCAATTGGATCTGCACTGCAGTACTTTGTTCTCTAACTGACCCCACCGATCAATTTTCTGTTAAGGGCTTGTAGTAGTTAACTGCGTGCAGGGTCTCATATTTTGAGTTTCTCCTGACTTGGGTGGGATTATATTGTTGAGTGAAAGAATCTTTTCTCGATAAATTGAGAGTAAACTTAATTTCTAGATTTAAGTACAATACTCTCCTTATTCTCTCCTTGGTTAGCTTTCTAGTAAAATTAATTTATGACTAGTGAGATTCGATATTCCATAACTAATATGGAACCATTTCAAACCATTTGCTTACTTTTGAATCTTATTATTAAGGTGTGAGAATTATGCTCTTCGTTATAACCTGGCTGAAAAAATCACTACAAACACAAAATATTGTCTATTTCATCCGTCTCTCTCTTTTCTTTCCTTTAGACTTTTCAAAAATTATATTTGCGCTTATTTTTTTCTTTAATTCAAATTAAAAAAAAAAACATATTTTTAATCATGACAGAATAAAATCCTATAATTTGAATAACTATTAATAGGTGGTTCGAAGTTATATTTAAATTTAAATATTAAAATTAACATTCAAAAATTAATTTTATTAAATATACTAAACTGTAATATAAAAATATATTATTAAAGTACAACTTGAGATTCTAAATTAGAAATATTAAATTTAAATTTTAAGTCGATTAAAAATAAAAAAATTATTTTTTCTAGTATAACTCATTCAAATGTGTTAAAAAAAAAAACTATTATTAAAGTCATCCTAAAAAAATTAGTCTAAAGACTAACCCAGCCAGAGCCCCAAAACCGTCAAAGAAAAAATGTCATATGTTGGAATTTTTGATGCGGCTCTTCAGACCTATCAACTAAACAAACCACCTTAAATTCAGAGAGAATTAAAAATGTTTTTTTTTTTTTTTAAGGAAGGCAATTTTAGGGGAAAAGGGGAAAGAAATGGACCTAGTCTATGCAGCTAAAAAAAATACTTATAACTCGTAGATCAAACATAAACATATAAATAATTTATAAGATTTAAATTTTTAATCAATTTAATTTAAATATTAAGACTTCAAAATAAATCATTAGGTCTAATGGATTCGAACTTTAAAGATATTAATTATTAGGAGGTATATTAATTTTTTATTTCAATCCGACCGGCACTAAAGGGAACCTAACCCGCACGCGCGCTCACATGTTCTACCACGACAAGTATGATCAAACTGTCTGGTAGACCGACCAGTCAAATGTCAAAACTCTTCTTTCCTTCTTAGTAGCACAGATCCTTTTCACGCATAAGCAAAAACCCTAACTACAAAGCTATTTTCCCATTTCTCTCATCCATCGATCTCTAATCCTAACGAACCTTCAAAAATTTTCAGATTTGATCATTTCTTGGGTAACTAAAAAAATTCCCCTCCTCAAAGTCATCTACCTTTTCACCTTCTTTTCTCTCACCTGCAAGTCTCTGCTATATAGTTGCCTTCTCTTCTCGGGTTTCTCCTCCAAACCAGCTGGGGAATAAAGGGTTTTCATTTCATCTCAATCTATATGATCATTTCATCGATCCTCTTCCTGTCTATATTTACGAATCTTAGGAACTCCAAATTGAATTTTTTTTGTTTTTGTTGAATCCTTGTTAAAGTTAGAGGAGTGTTGATTTTGGTAAGAAGGACTCAGATTCTCAGGAATGGCTGCACCGCCGAGCAGTCGGCTCCAGAGTATGTTGCAGGCGGCCGTGCAATCGGTTCAGTGGACGTACAGTCTCTTTTGGCAACTTTGTCCTCAACAAGGGTACTATATATTTCTCTCTTTTGCCAAATGTCCATTTTAATATTGTTGGCCACAAAAGAGTTAGTGTACTTAGCTAATTGCCTAATTCAGTTTAGTTTCCTGAAAATTGACTCGTTCTGATTTCTGAAATGGTGATCTTAATTAGGATCTTAATATGGGCGGACGGGTACTACAATGGGGCAATCAAGACGAGGAAGACTGTGCAACCAATGGAGGTTAGTGCGGAGGAAGCATCCCTACAAAGAAGCCAACAACTCAGGGAGCTCTACGATTCATTATCTGCCGGAGAGACCAACCAGCCAGCCCGGCGGCCTTGCGCTGCCTTGTCACCGGAAGACTTAACCGAATCAGAATGGTTTTATTTGATGTGCGTGTCCTTCTCTTTCCAACCTGGTGTCGGGTAAGTTCAGGATAATTGACTTTTACACTTCATTTGCTCTATATTTTCATATATTACTTGAATGGAACTTTCTTCTTCGGGGAAGCTCAGTGCACCGATTTGCAAGTAAATGCAGAAAAAAATTGGTAAATGAATGTTTTTTTTTTCCTCGGTTTTTACACTATTTTTCATTTGGTAGAAAATTTTCTATGCTGCCTAAACTCTCCTTATCTACTCTACATTTATCCCTTCATCAACTCTCTTTAATTAATTCCACCAAAAAAATAGAGCAATTTCCATTCCAAGATAATAGGGACATTTAATATGGAGAGCGAAGGATTAAATTCCTTTGTTTTTTGAAAGAGAGTAATTAGGAAAAATAATGTTATCCACCCTTATGTCCTGAATTCAGTTAAGTACTAGCTATGGCTAGTGTGATCTGTCCGAATGGCAATGAAACGTAGTAATTTATAGTAAATGAGACAGCAGAAGTTCGTTATGGTAGATTTGGGCATTACTGACTTCTGAGTTTCTGAACTTTGTAGTGATCACTCGAAGAACTCGAAAGATCATACTCATTGATATCTTGGTGTCAATACTGATAGTAGCACATCATTATGGGGTCTATTCTGGTAGTCTTGTTTTCTTTAGTGTGAGCGCTTCTGTGTCTTTCTTCTTTCTTGGTGGGTATAAGTTTAATGAAAGTCACTTAAATTTGTCTAATAAGAACAAGAGACTGTGGGGGGAATATAATTAACTTGAAAGAGAAAAAAAAAGGGTCAGAGAGTAGCAACAAATTCAAGTTTGAATTATTGGTTCACTGATCCTTTCCCTGCATATTTCCTTCTTTTTAACAAAATGACAACCAGATCTGATCACTCTTTAAAGCCCTAACCTATCGCCTTGCTACACTACTCTCTACGCTACTCATGACCCCTAATTTGATTGGTCTGAAATTTGTACTGCTCTACATTTCATTCCAACCAAATAGGTGGTTAGTTTTATTTATTTATCTTTTTCTAAATTATAAATGGGTTTTTTAATATATGATATTCATGTAATAAATATATTTTTTATTTTTTTTGAGGGAAATATATTTTTTGTCTTTAATATTAATAATATGTAGATAAATTTAATTAAAGATCAATTGTTATTTTTTAATATTAATTTATGACTAAAATATGCATTGACAACATCTATGTACAAGTCAGAAAAAGCCATCATAAAAAGTTTATTACCCTTTTAATTCTCAAAAAAATATTAAGAGTATGATTCACAAGTTATATGCAAAAGAGTCAAATTGAGTGGTAATGTGTGTGTGTAGGTTACCGGGAAAGGCATATGCAAGGCGGCAGCACGTATGGCTAACCGGAGCAAATGAGGTGGATAGCAAAACATTTTCCCGAGCTATTCTTGCTAAGGTAATTAATTTACATCAGCCACTCACCTTCGTTTGGTAGTGTATATCAATATCGAAATTCCAAATTCTCAGCTATAAAATCTAGTGCACTTACTATCTTGTCTTCTGTTTCTGAACATCAACATATAATACAACCACTTGCCGTCGGAACAGAGCGCTCGTGTACAGGCAAGTTAATTTTCTTTATCATACTTCTTCTCTTTTTAAACGATCGGTTGTTTTTTCACTTTAAATTAGTTACTATATTTTTTTAAGTGTTTTAAGATTAATAATATTTTTTTTCACATTTTAACTTTATCATTTTTTTTTTACTTTATTATTATCTTATCACAATTTTTTTATTTTTTTAAAAATAATATAAATAAATATATAAATTATTTTTAAATCTTTAATTTAAAAAAATTCAAAAAATTATTATTTTGCATCATAAATTTATATTAAAAAATTAAAAATTAATTTTTTATTTATTAACTGTTTAATTAAATTTATTCATTTAATAACAATATTAAAAATAATGTTAACTTTTATTTTTTTTAATATACATTTATGATAAACATATAATCCTTAATTTATACCTCTAAAACGCAAACGTAAAAAAAATCCTTTACAGAAAATTTTAAATACGAATAATTAATGTTTTTGTTGTAACATTGCAGACTGTGGTGTGCATTCCTCTACTAGACGGTGTCGTGGAGTTCGGCACAACGGATAAGGTTCCGGAGGACTTAGGGTTTGTCCAACACGTAAAAAGCTTTTTCACAGATGCCCACCACCAAAACCCTCCCCCACCAAAACCAGCTCTTTCCGAACACTCCACCTCTAACCCTGCCACCTCTTCCGACCACACACGCTTCCACTCTCCTCCAGTCCCCGCCATCTACGCTGCGGCTGACCCTCCCGTAACTGATGATCAAGAAGATGATGAAGATGACGAAGATGATGACGAAGAAGAACCCGAGTCTGACTCTGTAGAAACTGGTCGAAATAGCCGCCAGGTTACGGGAGGAAACACTCAAGCCGTAGTGGCTGCAGAGCCGAGCGAGTTAATGCAGCTGGAAATGTCAGAGGATATACGACTAGGTTCACCTGACGATGCGTCGAATAATTTGGACTCAAACTTTAACATGCTGACCATGGGCCAGTCGGATAACCCGGCAGATCAGCAGCGGCGAGCTGACTCGTTTAGGGCGGAGTCGTCTCGGCGGTGGCCGATGTTACAGGATTCCTTCGTCAATAGTAGCCTCCAACCACCTCCTTCAGGTAACAGACTTGGTAGTTGAATCTTGAATCTTTTACTTTCAGTGCAATTTTTTTCTTTTTTTCTTTTTTTACATCATCCGAAATTTCTAAGTACAAAATTGAATATTTCGTCTTTTTAAAAAAAAAAAACTTTTTTATTGCTTTATAGGCTATGTCACACTGAAAAAGTTGCTTCTTTATTTTACAATATAAAGTATTTATTTTTTTATATTAAATTTTAAATAATATTTTTTATAATATATAAATAATTATTAAAAAAATTTAATTAAAAAATTATTCAATAAAAATTATATATAAAAAAATTTTAACTATTATTTTATATTATAAAAAATATTATTTAAAATCACGTATAAAAAACCCAAACAATTTATATTCTAAAATAAATAAAGTAATTATTAACTAAAAAAATTTTTAATACTAATTATTTAATTTTGTTCAGTTTAATATGATCTAAATTATGCAAAATGTTTTTGTTTAAAAAACATACTTTTGGAATTAGGTGCATGTGATAAATTTATACCCAAAAAATTAAATGATCACTGTGGGCCTTGCTGGCAGATTATATTGATATCATGGCTCTGTTTATCCACACATGGGCATGGGTAAATTGAAGTTTTTCAGTCTCCCTTTGATTCTAGGATTGTGGGCCCTCATTTGCCCATGTGCAGAGTAACTCCAGAGACTACTTTTGTTTCTTTTCTTTTTGTTGAGTCCGTCTCACTTTCTTCAAGTCCTGAGAAATCTTAAAAGCTTTGTTTCAGTCCTGAAAAATCTTTCTTCTATATATATAGGACAGAGCCCAACTGTAATAGATCCATCTCACTTTTCTTCGACAGATAACCTTAAGGTCTGTTTGGTTGACAGTTTTGAAGAGAAAACTGTTGTCTTAAAATCTGCTGTTCTAAAAATAGTATTTGGTTGGTTAAATATAGTTTAATCCACTAAAGTCAACACTTTAATCAACTAAATACATAGCAATTGTTTCTAGTGGCAGTAGTTACCCCAAATAGAAGAATGTTTGGGGTGTAATTTGAAAATGCTGTTACTCTGAGAGCTATTGCTTTCTAAAACCTGCTATCAAATATGTAATTTTTGAGAAAAAAAAAATTGAGAAAAGGTTTTTTTCAGTATAAATTATATTTTTTTTATAATTTTAAATACTAAAATTATAAAAACACTGTTATTAAATAAATTTAAAAGGAATTTTATTTAAAAAATATATTTTTAAACAAGTGTAATTTTGAAAGAAGAAGAAGGGGTTTGAACTTATCTCATGAAGTTAGGTAATGCACTAGTAAACCAAGTGGCCTATAAAATCAAGTGTTATTAAAAATATTTAGATAATTTTAATATTAAAATTATATAAAAAATAGTACAATATGTACTAAAAATCATTTTTTTCAAAACAATTACTCTAGAAGATGTTGCTTTGTAAAATCTTTTTTTTTTTTATTATATAATGAGAAACAATAATCTCCTCATCACTTATCTCATCCCATCCATATATCATACAATTTGAGTTTAAGATCTCTTATTTATGATAGAAAGAGATAATCCTCATCATTTATCTTATCTCATCCATATGTCATACAATTTGAGTTTAAAATCTCTTATTTATGATATAAAAAGATAATGACTAAATTAGTTAAATCGTTTGCTGTTTTGTAAAAACTATTATTAAGTGTTTTTTTGAACAGTACTATTATTAAGTGTTTAGTTACTAAAAATTCTTGCGAACATTTTCCTTAAAGAGCACTATGTTTACCTTAATGGTCTAATTTAATTTTGTGACAGAGGAGCCACCACTGGATGATCTGTCACAAGAAGACACGCACTATTCCCAGACGGTCTCGACCATCCTCCACGACCAGCCAACCCGGTGGGCTGACTCGTCACCCAGCGGTTACGTCACCTACTCCTCCCAATCGGCATTCGCAAAGTGGACAACACGAGTGGATCACCTCCTCAACGTGCCCGCCGAAGGCACCTCACAGTGGCTTCTCAAGTACGTTCTCTTCTCCGTACCCTTCCTCCACGGCAAATACCGCGACGAGAACTCGCCCAAATCACGAGACACCGACGCCTCCGCCCGATTCCGCAAGGGCACCCCGCAGGATGAGCTTAGCGCTAATCATGTCCTGGCGGAACGCCGCCGCCGAGAGAAGCTGAATGAGAGGTTCATTATTCTGAGATCGCTGGTTCCGTTTGTTACCAAGATGGATAAGGCCTCCATTTTGGGCGACACAATTGAGTACGTGAAGCAGCTGCTGAAGAAGATTCAAGATCTGGAGGCGCGTAACCGGCAAATGGAGGCGGATCAGAAATCTAGAATGGGGGAATCGCTGCAAAGGACGAGCAGTTTGAAAGAGCAGAGGAGCGGGGCCACAGTGACGGACCGGGGACGGGCTGTAGGTTCCGGAGTCGGGTCGGATAAGAGGAAATTGAGGATTGTGGAGGGTAGTGCGGGTGGAGCGAAGCCGAAGATGGTCGAATTGCCTGCTCCGCCGACGGAGACGTCGGTGGAAGTGTCTATAATTGAAAGCGACGCGCTGTTGGAGCTTCAATGCGGGTACAAGGAAGGGTTGTTGCTGGACATCATGCAGTTGTTAAGGGAGCTCCGGATCGAGGCGACGACGGTTCAGTCTTCCTTAAATAACGGGGCGTTCGTGGCAGAATTAAGGGCGAAGGTAATAATTAATAAACAAAGAAATTATATAATCGAAAAACCGTTTTTGCAGTCCATTAACTTGAAAGGAAGGGTCCAAGTTTTAATATTGGTATCTTCACTTCTTATTAAAAGATTTTTATTTTATAATTTAGATGATAAAATAATAAATTTTTATATAATTAATTAACAAAATAAAAATTAATCGTCTTAAGATAAAAAATATAAGAGCATACTATTTTAACCGTGAGAGATGAAACTCAATTATTCTATAACTGTAATTATTACAAAAGTTTAAATTTAGGCATTTTTAATATAAGAGTGCCTTGATCATTATTTATATGGTTGATTAATATTTTTTTTTTTTTTGTTGTTGTGGTGAAATTTTCAGGTGAGGGAGAGTGTGAATGGAAAGAAAGCAAGTATTGTGGAAGTGAAGAGGGCCATAAATCAAATAATACCCCATCTCTAACTAAATTGTTTTGTAAATTTTGGGGGATAAGAATTCAGTTTTGGATGGCATCGTACAATTTTTTTGGTTGTTTGCTATTTGGATTAAGAAATTGTCATCCACAAACTGTAATGTAATCTAACAAGTGTTAAATTGAACATAAGCCAAAATATCGAATTAACTTTTGAAAATTAAATGCAATATCAAATTGACTCATTTTCTAGTTCCAATGTTTGTTTAACAATATCCCAAAGTAGCAGCTTTCAGAATAACAGTTTCCTTTGCAAACCTCTTGGGCATCTGGGGCACCAGCTTCTACAGAAATAGTTTTTAGTGCAATAGTTTCTTCCAAAAGAAAAAAAATCGTTTTAATTTAATTGGACAAAACTCCTTTCTCTTCCTTTTCTCTATTTTCTTCGATTGAAACATTCTCTTTAGATTAGTGTTATAATATAATATATGTTAAATAGGAAAAGAAAGACAAGGTCAAATAAAATAAGTTAACACATACCAAATCAAGATTCACTCGTTAAAAAAGCCAATCATACCAAGCAAATTATCACCTTTCTCTGTTGCACTGCCACTTTTTAAATTAATAAAGAATATAATTTTTATAATTAAAAAAAAAAGAATTAAATAAATGTGCACACTGTCTTGTGTAACGAATTTCGCTTGTGAACCCCATGTTTCTTACTGAGATATTTAAAAATGGGTAGCTTGGATAATGACTTGAACAAAAAAAATGAGAAATAAAGAAATAAAAATTGTTTGTCTTTCAAATGGAATGGGTCCCAGCTACTTGCTCTTATATTTTTCCTTTTTCTCATTTTTTTTTTTCCAAGTCACCATCTGTGCTCTCTATTTTTAAACATGTTTGCCCCCCAAAAAAAGTGGGGCCCACAAACAGAATATGTTAAATAAGTAGTATGTATCAATGTTTTGAAACCGAACGAAAGGTCAAACTGTTTTGATCTTTGCTTTCTAGTTTGGTACATCTAACCGTTTGGATTTTTTAAATTGTTAGTTTAATTGAATATGAATAAATATAATATTTTGTAATATATATCAATAAATTTATGGTAATTTTACTGGTTGATAGTGTTAGTTGTTATTAGAAAGGTAGCAAATTCAAATTCACATGATATCAAAATCTATATTATTATGTTTTTAACTTATAATATACTAATTCCAACGCAAAAAGTTAACAATCTTTGCTCTCCATATCACGTGGAGGAAGCTTTTATTCTTTATAGAGGGGAGAGAAGGCATTTTCAATTTTTTTTTCTTAAAAATAAAAAAAAAAATTTTAAACAAACCATGTCAACTTCGGGTGTGACACTCTAATGGTAAAAGTTGTTTAAAATTTTGAACCTCGGAGATGGCAAATCTTATGAAATTTTTATCAAAAACTTTAAACCATCCGATTGAATGGTTTAATAGTCTATATTAGTTTAAATGATTTTATTGGTTTTGAATGGTTCAACTTTTTTATTGGTTTTAAATACTCACCTAACTTATTTATGTTATTAGGTAACAGTTTGATTGATCAATCTGATCGACCAATCCAGTTTGACTTTTAAAACAATGATATGTACATCCACTTAATTCCTTTTAAGAAAATAATAAATCAAACAATATAATATACAATAGAAACATGTCTCAAAATTTAAATTTAAAATTTTTAACTTAAAGTCTAAAATTACCAAAATACCCTTTTGGTTGTACGTGTAATTGTTTCAAATACTTCTTGTGATTTCAGCCCTAGTTTTTGTATACAATTTGTATCCTTGATTTTTTTTTCCCAAGAATCAAGAAATTAAATCTAATAATAAGAATTTTGAGTTCTACTTTCTTTCTTTCCTTTTCCTTTCTCAGCACTCCTTTCCTCTTCCTTTCTCTCACCGCATTCTCTTTTAGTGAATATGACACTAAAGGATGGCATGTCAATGTTAGAGGAGAAGAAATTTTTTTGACTTTAGGGGGCAATTTTGTAAGTGAGAAATGGCATACCTTTGTGAGAAGAAAAGAAATTTTTTTGACTTTGAGGGGCAATTGTGTAAGTGGCAAATGGTATACCCATGTGAGGAGAGAAGAAATATCTTTGAATTTGAGGGACATTTTGGTTGGAGGGTTGTTGGGCCTGGCATTTTTGCTAATTTGGGTTTGTTTTGAGAGCCATCTTTGTAGAAAGTTTTGGCAAGGATTATTTTTGCTATGTTTCTAATTTTCTATCATTTTATAATAGTAATGTATTTTTAAGATTTACTGAGGAAATTTCATTTTGATCAAAATGGAATCTCTATTAAAACAAAATTAAACAAACAAACAAATAGAATCCTTATTGATCCAATCTTAATAGTTTTATTGATTGCTCTATATATTCTCATATTTTAATCATTTTTCTTTTCACATGTAAGATTTTAATTCATTTCATCACTGATCTTCTGCTTTTCTTTCTTTTCCTCTTTTTGTTGTTTGCCTTTTTTTTTTCTTTTTTTTTTTTTGTTCTTAAAATTTAGGGAAGTGATTGCCTATACTCAAGTGCTACTCAAGTGCAGCTATGTACCAATATTATTTTGGAAACTAATTGTCAGGTTGTATATATTCTTTTATAAGACACTCCAAATCCCTTTCATTCTCACAGCACTTTGTTTATGGATTGCAGGGACCTTTTGCGCTACATTCCCCAAGTCCAACTGAAACATGCGCTGATGCTATTGCCAAGAAGGGAGTCTGGGCCTCTCATGGGTTTCATATTTTGTTTGACTGTCCACCTGATGTGGATCTTTTGTATATGGCTGATCTTGTAGGGGATTGCTGCCCCAGGCAGTAATATTTTTACAATATTGTTCTATCTTTATTATCAAATATATATATAGTTATGTACATTATTTTTAAAATTGAATTTTATGTAAATATATTCACATTTGTGTTGATTTTGACGTTCTTAAAATACCATCAGTTTTTACTTGGCTGCCAGAAAACATGGCTTTGTTGTGGCCTTCTTTTCATGTTGTGCAAGATTTCATCTTTTCTCTCTTATTGTTACTTATTTTGTTACAATCTTTAAAAAAGGTAGATAATTTATATTAAGATCGAAGAAACAACTGGCAAATTTTTTAATGATATTATCATTATTCAAAACAATTTATCCAGAGTAAAATGTTATTTTGATATTTTATTATTTACTTTTAACAATAAACTTTTATTTATATTTTTCTTAT